CACCGGAAGGAGCTTGCCAGATGGTAGGTGGTGTGGGCTTTTGGAAATGGCGCAGTCGGAACAGCCTTGAACGAACCTTCTCACATCCCTGGCCATATTGGGCCACCAGAAGCGATCCTTCAGCAGCGAGATGGTGCTGTTGGCCCCTGGGTGGCCAGTGCCCAGAGAAGTGTGGACGGAGGGGATCAGGGAAGTGCGTTGTGCTCTGGTGACATATTGTGCTCCTGGTGGACAGCCCGGCGGAGTAGGAGTGGAAGCATTGGTGGAGGTATCCGGGTTATTGTTCCATTGGATGGGACTGACGATGATTTCCGTGGGGATTATGGATTCTGGTTCTTCATTGATTTCCTCAGGAGCATGGAGACGAGAGAGGGCATCTGCTTTCACATTTTTTGGGGCCTGGACGATAGGAAATGGTGAAATTGAATCTAGTAAAGAAGAGAGCCCATCTTGCCTGACGAGGATTGAGTCTCTTAGCGTCTCATAGATACTGCAAGTTTTTATGGTCAGTGAGGACACTGAATGGATGCTGAGCTCCCTCCAACCAATGCCTCCATTCCTCCAGGGCTAATCTGATCGCAAGGAGTTCCCGGTTGCCGATGTCGTAGTTTCTCTCCGCCGGGCTGAGTTTGCGGGAGAAGGCGGCACATGGATGGAGTTTGGGTGGAGTCCCCTGCTGCTGCGAAAGCACCGCTCCTACCCCCGTAGGGGAAGCGTCCGACTCTACCAAGAATGGTTTGTTGGGGTCTGGGTGGACGAGGAGCGGTGCCGAGGTCAAGGAGTTCTTTAGTGTTTCAAAGGCCTCCGTGGCAGTTGGTGACCAGGACAGGGATTTGGGCTTATCTCACAGCATACTGGTGAGCGGACTGGTTATGGAACTGTAATGGTAGATGAATCTCCGATAAAAGTTTGCGAAACCCAGGAACCTTTGCAGTTCTTTGACGGTGGTGGGAACTGGCCAGTTTTGGATGGCATCAACCTTTCTCTCGTCCATCTGGATACCCCCGTCGTTGATGACATATCCAAGGAACTGCATTGAGGACTGATGGAATGAACATTTCTCGGCTTTAAGGAACAGATTGAATTCACTTTTTTCAGGACCTCCGCAACGTGGTGGCGATGTTTGGCCAAGCTCCGGGAGTAGATTAGGATGTCATCAATATAGATGAGGACGAACCAGTGTAGATACTCCCGGAGCACCTCATGCATGAAGTCCTGGAATACGGAGGGGGCATTTACTAGTCCATACGGCATGACAAGATACTCGTAGTGCCCAGTAGGGGTCACGAAGGCAGTCTTCCACTCGTCCCCCTCACGTATCCGGATGAGGTTGTACGCACTGCGGAGGTCTAACTTGGTGATGACGGTGGCTCCACGTAGATGTTCCAATGCTGCTGGGACGAGAGGAAGTGGATAGCGGAACTTGATGGTACTCTTGTTTAGAACCCGGTAATCAATGCAAGGCCTCAAACCCCCGTCCTTCTTGGCCACGAAGAAGAAGCTGGAAGCAGCAGGGGAC